GAGCAAGTGCATGGCAGGGACCCTTCAAGAGGCAAGAAAGGGGATGCCAGTTATTTTTGAGCTCTGCTAAAATGCTTGAATCCTCTTAGGAGATTGGGGGTCAAGTGCCATCAACAGTTTGCACGTGGTAATTTTGCCCACGTGTACTAAAGCATCTATTTTAATGTGGCAGCAACCACCGCGATGGCTGCATCTGGCATCCAGTTTGCCCTTGAAACGTTTGCTCTACTCTAACCGTTTGGACACAGTGTTCCCTCTGCATTATTTGCTTAGGGACCTGAAATACCCAAGTAGATTTCCTCCATGTGGTTGGATCTGCTGATGCCACTAAAAGCATGCCCTGCCCTGGCTCCTGTTGGAGCCGATGCATTCACAGGCTGTGGCTGGAGAGAAGCTCGACTGGCTGGAGGGGGGTCTATTTATCAGGGAACTCGATTAAAATACAGACTTCGCATGACATCAGATTTGTAATCATTTTTTCCACAGCAAGCAAGCATTTTCTGTATTGGATGCAGGTGTTTAAAGCAATAGTGTGTTTTAAGGGCCAGTGCAGCACAAATTCTGGCCTTTGGGATAATGACAAGTGTTTTGCCTGCATAAACAATATATTTTTTTCCCCCTGAGGTCTGCACACACCTAGTTTCCCTCAAGCTCATCATCTCTGTCAGGTTAATCAATAGGCACCGTATGGCAGAGGGTCAGTAATCAGTGTCATCGTGCCTTTAAATCGTGTTGAAAATTTGCTTAAAGCCTGGGCCAATTAACATCGAGATGATGAATGGATGGGTAGATGGGAAGAGCCTGGTGCTTAGGGGCTTTGTGAGAAGGAGATGCTCAGCTGTTGAGCAGCAGACACCAGCGAATAAAATCAGCCATTCATGTGAGCTCAGTCCACCCACTCTTAATGATAATGTCAATCTAGCAAAATATATACACATTGGAGTTGTCACGAGTTCATAAATCAAAGGAGTTTGTCAAAGGCATTCAGATTAACGAGGCAGCAGCAATAACAAGTCAAATTTGCATAGAGAATTGCCCGAATCTCAGTAAATTATGATCCTGTTTTTCATTTGATTATTTGCTAATGTCTCAAGAGGGAGAATGATTATATTAGCATGCAAAATCTACTCCAGAAGTAGAAATCCGAGGTATAGCAGACCAGCACACGATGACAATTAATCAGTTTCTGCATACTAGCGTAAACGCGCAAGGCCCAGAAATGAACTCCTTTTTTTATTATTATTTCTCCTTGCTACTGATCCAAATGGTTCAGCTTGACAGAGACTTTATATTGCTTTAACAGTGTTCTGAATTGTGCCTGCAGGCAAGACATAGTTATGCAGCTATAACCAACCTATCCATCTGCCAACCAGATTGGAATTCTCCTATCCAAGGCTTCCATTAACCCCCACTGACAGCTCCAAACAGGATTAAGAATTTGAAAGCATAAAAAATAGTTGTGCTCTTCGCATAGATGCACGCTTCTCCCCCCACCCCACCTCCCCACGCTCGGAAAAAGGCTGCATCTGTACCGCTTTATAATTAGTGCTGGGCAGCACGGCACCGAAGAAAGCCTCCCCCAGTTGGCAGGGCTCTGATTTCCACCGCGACGAGCGAGGCGGTACTAAAGGTAGCTCTGCCCAATTGGTAGTCCCTGGGAGTGCATTTATCCATGTATTATATCTCGTTCCCAGCAGTGTTTTGCTGGGCTGTGTACACAAAATACTGCGTGTCATCTCCCATCAAACGCCTCAGCCTGGGGATTTCGTACGCATCGTAGCATGGTGTGTTTAGTGGTGGGGGAGGCGTCATGGGGAGAGTTAAATAGTAATAATTTCGTAGTGGTCTTTAAGACAACCTGCCACGGAATTCTATTCTGTTAATTACAGGCTGAAGTTTTAAATGCAAATCGGATTTAAAAGGCTCTCATTCCAGGCAGTAGTGGCCATTTTAGGAAAAACGAGCTACGGAGGGCAAAGCCTCTTGTTGTAAGAGCCTCCTGTTAGAGGCAGATTTTGAAGGTTACGTAAACGTCAGCTTGGGTTTGCTGCCTTCTCGTCCTGGCACTTCCGCCGTCATTGTGTGACCTTGGGAAATTATTTTGCCTGTCTGTGGCAACCCTGTGTGTTTATCTCACCAGGGCTGATCGGTCTGGGGTTTGGAGACTTTGGTGTTTCTTGTTGTACCTCGCTTGTCCTTGTGTGAAAGGAGAGACCCTTGCACGTGGGTTCTGCAGCTGTAACCAACCTGGTTTTGGCCAGGCTGGCTCCAGCCTGGGAAGGAAGGCTTGCCTTTGGGATTTTATCCCTTTCCCCTGCATTGGCTTTTTCAGCTTCTGTGTGCACTGCTTTTCTTTGCTTCTTTCACCCTAATAAATTTCATCGCTCGTCCCCTCTGTATCGAGCACAATCGCCGCACTTTAATATTCCCAGTGAGTACAACCCAAGGTACCGTCTGGATACCAAATGCTCCTTTCCAGCTCTGTGCTGGGATGTGCGTTTCAGCAGCCACGAGAGGGTGCTCGGAGCAGTCCTCCCTTTGTTCCTCTCCTGTGGCCGGGAGCATCGCTGAAGTCCTGCCGAGGCAAACCTTGTTGTGACCTCGCGTGTGTTTATCCCTCCTCCCACCTTGTTCAGCAAGGAGAAATATATAGAGGTGCCGTTTCAGTCAATTACGTTATGCTCTTCCCATGGCCAGGGCTGAGCGTCGCCCTATCAAGTGCGAATCACGTCCGCGCAGCCACAGTTAGTCCTGAAATATGCAGGATCCTGTACCTGCACCTGGATCGATGGGTTTCCTATTCCTGAGAAATGAGCGGGAGTTCCAAACATCTGTGCTGTTCCTTAAGTGTAATGCTTTCCAGTCATTCTGTCTTCACCAAGCGGAACTTACTTGCCGACAAAAGTGCATGAGCAGCTCTCCTCTTTAATAGGCTGCGATTGGAGCTGCTGTGTTGGTGCTGTAGGATGGTGAGGCGCCAAGCTGTGAACCACCATATGCACTTGGCAGTCTTTGTCTGGTCTTTGTTCAGCCAACCTCTTAGCCTTGCCACCTATAAAGATAATGAATGCAAAATGGTCCTCTGCTTGCTCTTAAAATCAGATGCTCGGCTTAAAGGAAAAGTAGATAACTTGATGCTGTGCAGGAACTAGGAATTTCCGGCATCAGCACTGATTTTTGTCCTTTTTGGTGTTTTTGGAAGGGGAATCTTGGATAGTTTGAAATGCAGAAAGGATGCAAAATTTCAGTGCCATAGAAAAGACTGGGAAAACATTTTGGCACTTGCAGTAGGGAAGGGGTCGACTGTTGAAAAACCATCCAGAAAGAGTAAGCAGTCCCCCCAGACTCCCTAACCTGGGCAACTAAATGCATTTCCAAGAAATGCACAGCACTCACCTTGCGTTCCTGTGGTTCTTGTACTTTGTCTGTTTCTCCAAAGCACAGAAATTAAAATCCTCACTTGAATTTAGCCACTTACCAGGCTGTATTTCATGAGTAGCAGAGAGCAGCTTTAATGTCTGACCTTTCTTTTTGGAGATATGTGATTCTAGCTTGTGTGTTTTTACGATCGCAGTCCTTCCTAGGCTGGATTTAATGCAATAACTGGGTCCTGGCAGAGACCTCGTATGAAAACTTTTAAAAACCGACCTCTTGCAGCGATTTATCAGGGCTGTTTAGGATTGATTTCCATTATAAAACCCTGGTTACAGCATCCCAGATGCCACGGTGCCTTGCGAGTTCTATATCTTGTTTGGAAAAACAAACAAACAAAAAACGCAAAAAAGATTTCTAGTTGGTCTGCAAGCCACATTTTGCACTGGGTCCTTCCCACCGACTGATGACATCCCAAACATTTGAGTTTTTGTTGTAACTGTTTTCCCTTATCTGCTGTTTCTCTGCCCGTACCTCCTGGCTGCGCCTTCCTCCCCTCTGCCAGTCCTGCAGCCACCTCTGCCTGAGGAGCTGGCCCTCACAGAAGCCAGGCAGGTTCTTTGGGGGCAAAGGGGACAGCAGCACAGCATGCACGCTTCTGCTGGAGATTCTGCACCTTGAGCTCATCTGCAAGGAACTGGAAACCCACCCTTTTCCTGGCAGAGCTCTCCCTAAGCAGTTTTTCTGTCTCTCTTTAAAACCTGTTTAGTTACTCACTACTGAATGTGTGGGAATGTGGCCTAAGGCTACGAATACTGTGGTGATCAAACTGATTTGAGATGTGTGTGGGATTCCCCCAAAGCTGGCTGCCACTACGCTGCTGGCACGTACTGAACCCGTGCACAGGAGCTGCCATGGGAGGACGGGGTTCTCCCACGTAGCCAGCAGTTTCTATCAGATGTTTGCTAAAGTTCATGCCTATCCTGAGAGAAGCTTTAGCCCATCTTTACTCTAAAGCAAGTAGTAACTGGCTTTAACTGTGAGGTTAATACAAAAAAAACCCTCTCCTGTTGCGCTTTCTGCAAAAGCCCTCGTAGTTCTTCTTTCCTGTCCCCTTCCCTTGCTTTATTGATCTCTTCTCTGGATCTGGTAGCTTATGTTTTGCAGCCTCAGACTTCCCAGGAACGGTACATGTCTGTAGGTAGAGTCAGGGGCAGGAGGGAGAAACGTAGCCATGCGACCGTATGCTGCCTACGCTTTAACAGTCTTGTTTTCATCAGGTTCCACTGTTCTCAATGGGTATACTGGGGTGTCTAGGAGCACTGGTGCTACCATGCTCATCCAGCCGTTATTCCAGCTTGTCAGAGAGGCAGTTATTGGTAATTTCAGAACAAATCCCCAAAGCACAGGCTTCTTCCATAGGTACCTGCACAATGGTGCGTTGCTGTGTTGAGGAGGAGATTCTTTTTCTGCCATAACAAGCTGTTTGGCTTAGAAGTACATGTTAGCCTCCTGTATGTGCATACATAAAATGCTATAGCCTGCGTTGTACGAATATTCTGTTTCTTTTCTCCTCGCAGACTAATACTAGGGATAAGAACTGAATTAAAGCTTACTTTCTTTCGCAGAACTCCTCTGAGAGAGAAGACTGTAATAATGATGAGCCCCCTAGGAAGATCATTCCTGAGAAGAATTCACTTAGACAGGTATGTGATCAGTCTCCTTAAGAATGCAATAAAACTTTCTAGCTATTTGAATCCTTAAATGCTTTTGGAAGCTGAAGTCTGACTTACACTGGTGGAAATTCTTTCTTTTCTCCTTTGGGGTCTGAGCGAGTCACAGCGTACCCAGGAAAATCAGCCATACGGATTTAGCTTCCAGGAGAGTCTCATGAGCCTTTCCAAGGAAATCTTGATTTCTGCATAGTGCAGTCAGCTGGAGCTCTCTAGTTTCACCTTTCTCCAGTTAGTGTTCATGCAGCTCTCCTCAGCCTTTTCTTCTGTTCTGCTTCCTGCCTTGTTTGTAGTGTATTTTATCTTGTTTCAGGTCATGCATTCAAGAAAGTCAGAGCTTTCCAGAACAATTAAGTTTTCCATTACCCTTGAAGGTGAATTTTCTTGGAGGTGATGTTCAGGTTAATAACCTGAAAAATGACTAATTTATTTTCTTATATGTTCATATATATTACTAATTGGTAGAAGGAAGAGTGGGATGATAGAGCTTAATATCTTTGCCATTTATCTATAACAAAGCAAATTTCTTACCAGTTCATCAACAAAAGACATAGTTCAAAGCATGGTGATCAGCTGCATTTCGTGTATTCTTGAGCCTTCATCTTCCTGCCCAGTGTTTAGCAGGGTAGATGCTGGACAAAATCCTTGGTCCTTCTGCTTGCTATGTGGCACTTTATGTGTTGAGCACTTCTGCTTGCCTGTGGACAAGTACAAGCTGTAGTCTGAAAGCAAATGCCCTCTTGTCTAGATCATCGGAGTTGGTTGCCCAAATCTTGTGCCTGTGGTGGAAGGAATTTTGGTTCTTTATATAAGCATAAATAGAACTGTCAAAGCATTTTGGAAGCTCAGATTGTGCCTTTTCTCTATTAATGATGGTCAAGGAGCAGTTGGGAATTTTCCAGCTCTAAGTGGGGAAATCAGAGACAAATGCAGCCTTGTGCTTTTTTCTGTCTTAGTCAATGAGTAAAGATCTGCATATCCTCGAGGAAGCGATTAACCTGCCTTACATCTGTGCATATTTTGTAATACCAAAAAGATCTGTCCTGCAAATGCTGTCAAAGCAGTAACACACAAAAAGTGCTGAATTCAGTACCTAGTACCTTAGTGGAAAGATGCTAACTTGGTAAATACTGAGTATACGGCTTCATATTTTCTGTCCCTCCCTTTGAATACTGCTGTTGAAATTTCATTATTGAGAAACATGGGCCTCCTGCACAGGAGCAACGAATGTGCGTGTGTGGAGAGAGGGGGAGATCTGTTTGCTTCCATGGTCTTTCTACTGAAAGTGTCCCTGTGTTCTGTCCTTACTGATTTGTTAGAGAAAGTGAATGAGATGCAACAGACCGCTTCAGGGGAGGTGTGATGTGTTGGTATGTTCACCTGCTGATGTATGCAAGCAGAGGTGCGGTGCTGTTTCTTGGTTGCTGTGCTGGTATGCAGCCTTGGCCATTAACGTGTCCTCAGGAGGCTTTGTGGAACAGACGTACCAGGAGGTGGAGGTAACAAAAAGGTGCTTGTTTGTGCACCTGAAGTTGTGCACAGGGGCTGAAGTCCCCCATAGCTCAGTGCTGTGGACTTGTTACTAGAAATGGAACCCTTCTGTTGACTCAGGTGGTTGTCATACAAGGTTACCTTCAGAAGTGCCAACATGTGGAGCTGTGCAGGTGGGAACCATGGGAACCATGGCTTGCCAGGAGGGTCTGCAGGGCACAGGGGACACGGAGATCAGCAGTGGGAACAGAAGCAGGAACAGGCAATGAACTTGACTCTGATAGCTGGAACAGGAAAAAGATCTAAACTGTGGCAGGTTTTGAATTATGGATGCAAATGCTCAGTTCTTGTTGGGCGCGTGATCTGACAGAATTACATTTTGAAGGGGTAAACTGACAATTGTAGGACGAAAACTTCAGAAAAAAACAATGATGAGTGGCAAAAGTTTCTGGCAACTTTATTTAAGCTAACAAACGAATTTTCACACTGCAAAGTTATAAATTAATTTTAATAGGCTGATCCAGATGGTCCATTTGGAAAATGGATAGCTTGATCTGTTGAAAATTAAACTAAATTTATCTCTCTCATACTTCAAACTGAAGTAAGCGTGAGAAGAGTGCCCATTAAGTCCAGCTCATACAGATGGACCGGCAGGTCACACATGGGACTAATCTGATTCATTTTAAAAATAAATGCATGAGTTATTGAATCAGGTTCCTGTTTGAAGCCCTGCGTGTGAGCGTGTGTGTGTGCGTGCCGCCCTTTCAAAGGGACTCGCAAATGCTTCAGTGCCTTTTTAACCTGTGTGTTTCCATTTTAATTCAACTTCGTTGCCAAAAAACATAATTAGTTTTCAGTGCCTATCATTTAGTGTTAGCCCCAAACGCTAGATTGATTGGGTCAGGCATTTGTTATTTTAAGGGCTACGTCTCCATTCTTCATTTATGAAGAACACGAGCTCAATAGTCTTGGGGAGAGAGCCGGCCTTTAGAAACTGGGCAGGGGAAGCTCTCTGGGGGCCCCTCCAGCCTTTTAGCTTCTGGGTGTTTTTAACAGAGCCATGAATGCAGATTTGTAAATTTATTGCGGTGCCATCTGTTTTTTTTTTTGCAGGAACCGTATTATTGTTGGCTCCTATCTGTCTATTGTGGTGGTCACTCCCCAGGAGCTTGCCCTCGCAGTCCTAAGGAAAGTGATGAATAGCGGGGGTCAGCATGAATAGGTCACAGGGCAGCTGTCCAGGGCTGCCCTGAACTTGATTACCTCTCTGGTTTTTAAAGAAGACGGGCACAATGCGGCTTGCTTAGAGCCCTGCCCTTCGTCCCCTGGCGGGGCGATGACGAAGTGCCTTGCGCCGTGCTCCTGGGGGCTGTCAGGGTGCCACGGGGGGAAATGCCGGCAGCTTGCTGCGGCCTCCCTCCTGCAACCCTCTGCAAAGCTCACCTGGCTCTCTGCTGTCGCTCATCAAGCATCCAGATGGAAGTCCCGGGAAAAATCCCAGCCTGCTCCCCATTCAGGCAAGCCCCTCTGCATTTTCAGGGTTGTTTTCCTGCTAGCATTTTGGCACAGAATGTTGCCTCAATTCGTTCCTATGGATTTGAGATCGTTTTGTAAAATCACATGTAGCACCTAAGACATGCTCTAGGCGCTGTTTCGGTGTTCAAGTAGACACATTCCACTCTTAAAGGGCTTAAAGTCATACACAGGCAAACTGTTAGAAAGCAGCTGAAGAAGGCAGAGCAAAAGAAAGACAAAAAGCAGCAGCAGCCAGCACTTTCTGCTGGCCTCGTCCTGCCCATGAGGCTGCTCAGAAATGCTCTCCAGGAGTGCTTCTTCTGTTTCTGCAGTGGGAACAGCCGCATGGTGGGAAGGAGCAAGGCTCCTCCAGCTCCCTCCAGCCCTTGGGGAAGGCACTGCCCTTCTGATTCACCTGGCAGAGTGCAGGTGCAACCAGGTCAATAACGTTGTCCGGCACACCTCAGCTTTTACCTTGTTAGTGCTTGCAAGTAGGGAGGTGCTGGTTGAAAAAAGCCTTCTGAAATCACTAGAAGCACATCCTGAACTTATGTATTTATTTATTTATGTTTTGTTCTCAAACAAAAGGAAAAAATAATTTCCATTTGTCTGTAATGCTCCGTATGTGGTAACGAATGAGCCAACCTGGGCTGTAGTGGAGCTGGAGTTACAGTGGAATGCTGCCTCGTGGCAGAAAGGCCACTGGGCTCTTTCAGCAGTAGTGCTAATAGGAATCTGTCACCCTGCTGCATTTCTGCATTCCTGTGTAATTGAGTAAATTGCAAGTGTTGTCTGCTCCCCCTGTCTTTTGTGTCCACGTCCACTTACCATCCAAAGAACGTGGGCAGTGATAAATAAAGCGCTGAACAGGACTCTCAAGTCTTTGAAAGCAGCGTGTTGCCAGCCCCTTAGTTATGTTTAAGTGTTTATGTTTTTCTGTATTCTTTCTCTTGTGTGGCTGGAACCCTGGGGATCCAAAGCCATGAGAGAGGCCAAGGAGCTAACAAAGTAGCTGTCCCCTTGTTAGCTTGTTCCTTTCTTCTTTAAAAAACAAGATGAGAACCATCTGGCTCAGGGCATTACATTTTCCTCCCCCATGCACCTCTATAGATGAAGAGTTTCACCTGCAGCGAGGGTTTACATTGATTAGGGAGGGAGCAGTAATTCAAGCCTCCATCCACTTCAGTGGTACTTTGCAGTCTTTAAAGGTGCTGACCCATTGAGTTAAACTGTCAAGGGAGGATAAAAAAGGAGCTTCATCCCGGGAGGTAACAGCTGCCAGGTTTTCAACACCTTGCACGCTGCTGGAGAAATGTCACAAATTGTCAATGGGAAGAAAAATCGCTTGGCTGCCATCTTCCCTTAATGACGCGCCTTATAAAATGAAAGATTTAAGGGTAGAAAAAATCATCGAGTAGCTGTCAGGAAAAGAAAAATCCGGGGGGATTTGGAACAATGGGCCCAACGAGATGGATCCTGAAAGGCTGCAAATGCTGCGTCCACGTTGCAGAAAGCGGTTCTGATGGGGATGGCCATTTTTGCACGGCGGGACAAGAGAGGGCTGGGCGGCAGCACAAAGTCTAACACTGCTGTGCCTGAATTAAAGGGGAAAAAAAAGAAGTCATCTTGATTCATAAGCCAGTGAACTGAGAGAAGACATACTGTATTTCTGCTCTTTTGAGGACAATTTGTTTTCAAGCAGCTACCAGATGGCTAAATACCACGACATTTCCTTTTTTTCTTTTTTTGTTCTTTATTTTAACAAGAGATGTAGTTCTCTTTGCTCTTTGTTTTTGTTGGTCCTAATGCTTTTACTTGGCTGAACAGACCCTGTGGTGTTTGGGCATTGTGACATTACTTTTTTTTCTTTGCCCCTGTGCATTGATGGATGAGGAAAGAAAGATCTTCATCTTTAATGTAATTTCGGATAAGAGGCAGATTGGAGTGAGGCTTTTTGTTTGTATTGT